ATTATTGTTTTTGTCAAATTATTGTTTTCCCTGATAGTTTACTAACGAGTTATGGCTCAATCTTTTGTTTTGGCAGAACATTGGCGCGTTGCAAGCGCTCATCCCGCTGATGGCGCAGCAGCAGCAGCAGCAGCCGTCCGATACGGCGCAAGTGCAGCAGCTCCAGCAGCAGCAAGCCGCTGCCTCCGCCAGCGTCGCGTCTGTCATCTCTCAGCTGGCGCTCGCCGCTTCCAACATTCTCCCGCAGATGGGGATGGCACCTCCCGTTCTTCCGCCGCAAATCGGAATGGCTCCTCCCGCGGCGCCGGCGGTCCAGCAAATGGGGTTCACCACCCCCGTGAACTCCGCCGCTAATCCCGCTTCAAAGCTCCTGGTTTTACCTCAGAACTCCGTTCCGCAACAGCAGCAGCCGCAACAGCAGCAGCCGCAGCAGCAGCAGCAGCCGCAGCAGCAGCAGCAGCCGCCGCAGCAGCAGCAGCCGCAGCAGCAGCAGCCGCAGCAGCAGCAGCAGCCACAGCAGCAGCAGCAGCCGCAGCAGCAGCAGCAGCCGCAGCAGCAGCAGCAGCCGCAGCAGCAGCAGCAGCAGCAGCAACAGGAGGTTGCGTCGTCGACTCCTGTTAACCGTCAGCAGCTTTTAATCTCGTCTCTTGGGGCCTCCAGCTCGCTGCTTCAACAGCAGGCTGCGCAACTGACGCTCGCGACGCAATCACCGCCGTACGATCATTCGCCACGGCAGCAATCTGTAATCAAGCTCGTCCCGCCTGCTCCCGACGAGTCCGATGACATGGCAGCGAAGCTTCAGCTGAGCCAGCCAGGCTTTGCGCCGACTATGGCGGCTCCGCAGCAGGCAAAGGCGGCGGTTCCACCAAGGCCAGTCGCACACCTCCCGCCGCCTCAGGCGCAGGTGTCGCAGGCGCAGGCGCAAGCGCCGGCGTTGGCGCGTCAGTTCCCGAAGCAAGGCGCTGTGGACAGGCTGCTCGGCGGAGCTATCCTTCTCACGCAGAAGCGCAAGCTCGGTTTTGACGGCGCCGGGACGGCAATCGTTGCTTCCGGTGCCACTGCTATCCCCGGCAATGGCAGTGTTTCTGGTTCGGAACTGGCGCGCAAGCGCAGCAAGGAGAATGTGCGGGAGGACAGTGGATGCAAGCAGCGAGGCTCACCTGACGGCGACGAAGACGACGCGCTACCAGGTAAAAAAGGATTCCATGCTGGGAGGTCTTTGTTGGAGGACTTGCCTGCGTTTGAGTCTTCGACTCTGGCCGCTTCGTATGCAGTTGACCGTGGTGCTTCAGCTATTAACTTATGCTTGGTTGTATGTTATTCGTTCTTTGCAGAAGGTTCCTACGATGTGATCGAGATGGACCCTGTGGAACTGCTAGCGGAGCACACCCACTTCTGTGAAATCTGTGGCAAGGGTATGCGCCCGCATACGTGTGGTTGATTGAAGATTCCATTTGGCATCACGTTTTTTCTTGTTCGAGCGTCCACATCCTCTGTTAATTATGTTGCTGCTTTCTGACCTAGTTTGTTACCTTTGCAGGATTCAAGCGAGACGCCAACCTCCGCATGCACATGAGAGGCCATGGCGACGAGTACAAGACGCCAGAAGCCCTTGCCCGTCCCGACAAGCACCTCGCAAACGTTGCCCAGCGCCCGAAACGTTTCAGCTGCCCGTTTGTTGGCTGCAAGCGCAACAGTCAGCATCAGCGCTTCCTCCCGCTGAAGACGATGCTGTGTGTGAAGAACCACTACCGCCGCACCCACTGCCCCAAGATGCTCGCATGCTCCAAGTGCGGTGCAAAGCGGTTCTCGGTGGTGGCGGACCTCAAGACCCACGAGAAGCACTGCGGGCGCGACCGCTGGCTGTGCTCCTGCGGCACGTCCTTCAGTCGCAAGGACAAGCTGCTCGGCCACCTCGCCCTCTTCAAGGGCCACCGCCCCGCCAACCCCTCCCTCACTGCTGCCGACGACGGCCCTGCAGGCGCCATTGATGATGGTACACGAGTTGAAGCTCCTGCGATTGCTGGGCCTTCAGTGCCTGCTCCTCCTCAGGTACCCACGTGTTCCCACGTGTACCAGTAGCTTTCTGAGCCGTTTGTTCAATTTGTGAATCATGTCTCTCTTTAGTTGCACTGTGGTCTCATGAAATTCGCACTCTGTTTGTTTGTTCCAGGTGATGGAAAGGGAGAGGGAAGTGGTGGTGTATCAGCAGGGGACTCCGGCTCAGCTCACTCTTGGCCATGCTGCTGCTCCACCTGCTGCTCCTGGGGTTCAAGGCACTGCACCAAATGGTGCTCCTGGTCCTGGTCCAAGGGTGGATGGTGGTGGTGGTGGTCAGGCGATCCTGTTTGGCATGTCTGGACCCAGCCTTGTTACAGCGGATCTACTTGGTTCTGCTGAGAGGCAAACACAACAGTAATGACGTGTTAACCACTTCTCATCTCCTGTTCTGCTGTTTTTTTTGCTAGGGCATGCTTGAAAGGCATGCCCAAGTTGGTCTTATATTGTATTAGCGTGGATATGTTTTGTTATGACAGTCTGATTTAACGTTTGTACATATAATAAATCTGTATGACATCTAGCTTTGTGAGATTAGATTCAACTATGTGCCGATTTGAAGAATAACCATATGGCTTATTGGAATGTATGGGTCAAAACAGAAGCGTTCTTGTATGGAAGGATGTCCGCCTGGCTGACATCGCAGAGTCGGTGTGGAGAGCAGCAGCTAGGAAGGTAGCACCGAAAATGCGGTGTTGACAAGTCGCATGGCGGAAACTGCCAACACATCCCGCCAAAGACTCAGAGGGGTTGAACCAGCAGATTTCTGGATTTCGCTAGCATTGTCGCAACCGCCGGCCATTTCGCCAAACCTCCACCGACACACAATTCAATATCTTGTTGGATGCTCTGATTGGACTGTTACTCTCACGACAGACTAGGGCTTAGTTACCGCCTTACTCGCCGTCCTCCCACTCTTCGCTAAATTTCTCGCCCTCTCAAACGATGGTGGTGCAACCGTTATTACGCCATTCGCTTGGGACGTCCATCCCGCCCATCATTGCGCGCACCACCAAGTAGTCTATCTTCACCGACACAACTGAACTCCGCTGACTGGAAAACAAGCGCAAATGCGGACAAAATCGTCTGGTTTAGTAGGTTACAGAACGGCTTCTCGTGTTTACAGAAACATATATCTCGGTTTCTTTTCCTTCCCCAGCTTTCCTCGGCCCTATTCGGTAGCCCTCCAGTCACACTGGGCCCACTCGAACTGGGGAAGCCTACGACATGTTTCGTAGCCTCGGGCGTCCAATCACACTGAAAGGAAGTCTCGTCCGCAAATGCAAGAAGTTACCGTGTGTTTCTTGAGAAATTGCTGGTTGAAACTTTTACTTCTGTACGAGGCTGCCCAAATCACAAACAAAAAACAGCCCCCCAAATGAAACACCCTCGATATGGATAAATGAAAAACACGAACGGGCAAGATCTCTCATCGTTTGAACGAGCGGGCTGAAAAACATATTTTGACCCGATTCGAAACTAATGCAGCGTTTACCCTACAGCGTGTCACTCAGAGCGGGCCTGCCTGAGTGGAACTGGAAAGCAGATATGGGGTTGACTTTCACTGGCGGTCGAGCTTGCCTGAGCAAGCATTTTCGTGGTAGCGTCCTCAACTTCACTCGGTCTGGGTTTTTCACGCGTTCTGTAGCCAGCTTGCACTGGGCAGGTATGGTGTTCTAATAACGGTCTTGTGGGTTTTAAGGTGAGTCGAAATTGGGCCGAGGAAGTGCACCTGCACCAACCGCAGTGTGATTTGGGGGGCTACCGAACAGGGCCCTTCTCTTGATAGTTGTCACATCCAACACTGGAAGCACGGTGACAGCACATGGCAGCGAGATCTTCGGTGATCATACCCTGTGAATTGCAGCAGCACGCCTGGAACAGAAAGCAAGACGGCCTCTTCTTGACCCAGCATCATAGTTTGTAACTTATCGCGGGACGCTTCTCATTGGTCGATACAGTCCTCACTTGCGCGTCCTCCGTCCCTACTACGTCCCTACACGTGCTTATCCTTAGAGTGCTGTGAATAACTTAACATTATAGGTTTTCTTGAAGTCGGAAATAGGTGTCACATTACTACTCAGTTTCTCCTGACGGACGAATATAGATTCCTGGTTTTGACGGCTCCTCCTGAGGCGGTTCACAAAGTGAGCAGGCTGTAGCAGCTGAGCTCCGTAGCAGACGGCCGTAGCAGCAGGCGCCACCAGCTGGCTCTGTAGCGTTCATAAAACGGCGTTCAGTTATTGCTTTAAGCCCTCGTGTGGTCGCCATGGCATCGTTGCCATCTTTCCTTGGTGGATGACGCACTACCATACTTACCTATGTGATTAACTAGCCGTTTGCAGAAAATCGTCGCACTACTGTGGAAATTCGTTAAGTAGATAACGCTTATTATAGGTCTACTGTAGAACTTGCCTGCTTGAGCGGATGGAATCAAGGGAACCTGGCGCTGGAGCCTACCATTTCAACGTTTCAACAGCGTATGAGTTCCGCAAGACATGTCGATTAGCGTCAGAACGCGAACGCGTTACATCTCGCGTTACAACTCTCGTTACGGGTCACGCTATTACAAGGAGTAGCGGAAGCTGGGGAGGGGGACGGAAACAGCTGCGTGACCTAGTTCCGTCCGCGCTACACGTCAGCATGTTGCTACTGCTGCTTCTACTAGTAACACTACCCTCCTTCGGGGCAGTCCGGGTTCAGGGTCAAAATCCCAACGCCGCATCGAATATTTCCTCCACAGCAGGTGGGTACTAACTGAAGCTGGCAAAGCGTGGCCGTTATTTTGCATCTGGTCTTGAAATGGCCGGTTTGGGTCGAGGGTCAGGACGTTAACGCTGCATCAAACATCTCCTCCACAGCAGGTGGGTGCAAATTAGGTGACTTCTAAGTCAAGTCAAATGGACCGTTCAAGTTCACGGTCGAAGGTCAACGCTGCGTAATTAATGCTCCACAGGGACCGCCTTCGCCCCTCCTTTCCGCCCTCCCCCGTCCTTCCCCCTGCCCTTCCAACTGCCCTCCCCCCTGCCCTCCCCCTCTCCCTTCCCCATCTTGCGCCTCCCAGGCTTCATAAGCATCGACTGCGGGTACCAGGGGCGGCCGTACCCCTCTCCTCGCGGCTTCTGAGTGGACTCAAAAGTCACAGACTGCGGGTACCAGGGGCGGCCCTACCCTTCTCCTCGCGGCTTCACCTGACGGCCTTCCCCCCTCTCTTCCGCCCTCCTCCGTCTCCCCCCCTGCCATCCCCTCCCGTCCTCCTCCCCTCCCCCCGCGTGATTCCCAGGCTTCATAAGCATCGACTGCGGGTACCAGAGGCGGCCGTACCCCTCTCCTCTCGGCTTCGCCTGGCAACCTTCCCCCCTCCCTTCCGCCCTCCCCCGTCCTTCTCATATTCCCCCCGCCCTCCGCTCCCCACGCCCCAGGCTTCATAAGCATCGACTGCGGGTACCAGAGGCGGCCGTACCCCTCTCCTCTCGGCTTCGCCTGGCAACCTTCCCCCCTCCCTTCCGCCCTCCCCCGTCCTTCTCATATCCCCCCCGCCCTCCGCTCCCCACGCCCCAGGCTTCATAAGCATTGACTGCGGGTACCAGGGGCGGCCGTACCCCTCTCCTCTCGGCTTCACCTGGTAGCCCGATCCCCCCACCCTTCCACCCTCCCCCGTCCTTCCCCCTGCCTTCCCCCCTACCCTTCCTCCCGCCCCTTCCCCCGCCCTCCCGCCCTGCGCGCCCCCCAGGCTTCATAAGCATCGACTGCGGGTACCAGGGGCGGCCGTAGCCCTCTCCTCTCGGCTTCACCTGGCAGCCCGATTTCCCGACCGTCCCCGGCACGCCTGCTGTCATCACTGCGCTCCCTCGCCCCATACCTTTCCCCATCACCCCACCTTATGCCCCCAGGCTTCATAAGCATTGACTGCGGGTATCAGGGGCGGCCGTACCCCTCCCCTCTCAACTTCACCTGGCAGCCCGATCCCCCCACTGTCTCCGGCACGCCTGCTGTCATCACCCGCATCTCGCCAGACGCGGGAAACGTGAGGCTCACTCCCATGTGCCCCACACTCGTAAACCCCCTTTCCCCCTCCCTCTCCCTTCCCCGCGCCCTCCCCCGCCTTCGCCCCTGCTCTTTCCCCGTCCTTCCCCCGCCCAGGCTTCATAAGCATTGACTGCGGGTACCAGGGGCGGCCGTACCCCTCTCCCCTCAACTTCACCTGGCAGCCCGATCCCCCCACCGTCCCCGGCACGCCTGCTGTCATCACGGGGATCTCTCCAGAAGCAGGAGACGTGAGGCTGACCACGGAGCTGTCCCTGAGGGCGTTCAATAACGACAGGGACGTCAACTGCTACCACGTGCCACTCACTGCTGCTGGTGAGTGCTGCTGTTGGTGGTGCTGCTGCTGGTGAGTGCTGCTGTTGGTGGTGCTGCTGCTGGTGGTGCTGCTACCACGTGCCACTCACTGCTGCTGGTGAGTGCTGCTGCTGCTGCTGCTGCTGCTGCTGCTGGGGAGGTGTATATTTGGATAGATGTGTGTACACAGGGGGGCATTCGAGGGGGGAGGTTGTGAGGCTGATAGCGGAGCTGTCTCTGAGAGGGGGCTCAATAATGACAGGGTTGTTAATTGCTACCACGTGCCACTCACTGCTGCTGGTGAGTGCTTTTTGTCAGTGCTTCAGTTTGGGAGCTATGTTGCGTAGACAGACGTACATGCATGTACGCATGGGGGTAAAGGAGGGGGGAGATGTGAGGTTGACAACGGAGCTGTCCCTGAGGGCGTTCAATAACGACAGGGACATCAACTGCTTGGGAGCTGTATACGAAGTATGATGGAGAGATACCTCTCCCCCCCTACCTGTTCGTACCACCACACACCCCTTCCTTCCTTTCCTCCATTCCTCTGTCTTCTTTTCCCCTTTTTCCTCCCTCTGCAGGCCGTTATCTGGTGCGCTTGACCTGCTGATACAAGAACTACGATGGCAAGGACTCCTTCCCCCTCCCCACACCCCTTCCTCCCTTTGCCTCTTTATCCTCTGCAGGCCGTTACCTGGTGCGCCTGGCCTTCTGGTACAAGAACTACGATGGCAAGAATTCACCGCCTGTGTTCAACGTTACCATAGGGCCCGGATCAGCGTGAGTTGTGTTTTGAGGGATGGGGTGGCAGGCAGTGTGTAGGGTTTGAGATTGTTAGTGGCTCCTGTGCTGTTCAACGCTACCAGAGGAAAAGAACTACGATGGCAAGAATTCACCGCCTGTGTTCAACGTTACCATAGGGCCCGGATCAGCAAGAGTTGTGGATGAGAGGGATAGGGCAGGATGGGATGGGATGGGATGGGATGGGATGGGATGGGATGGGATGGGATGGGATGGGATGGGATGGGATGGGATGGGATGGGATGGGATGGGATGCCATAGCCACAGTCAGGGAGGCGGCCATGCCCATCTGTCTGCAGCGTGTGCGGGCATCAGTTCGAGTCCATTCATACACTGCCTACCCGCCCCTCTCCCCTCCTCACCTCCCCTCCTCTCCCCCACCCGCATTGCTTCACTGCAGTGGTCAGGTGGACCTGCATTCGATGGGCAATACCCTCTACACGCTCGAAGCCATAGCCACAGTCAGGGACGCCACCATGCCCGTCTGCCTGCAGCGAGTGGGAAGTCAGTTTGAACCCATTCAAACACTGCCTACCTGCCTCCTATCCTCCCTCCATTGCTCCACTCCAGGGGACAGGTGGACCTGCGTTCGATGGGCGATACCCTCTACACGCTCGAAGCCATAGCCACAGTCAGGGACGCCACCATGTCCGTCTGCCTGCAGCGAGCTGCGAGGGGGGGTTGAAGGTTTTCAAGCCAAATTACACTGTTGCTCTCGTCTTCCCCCCCCTTCCTTTCCCTTACTACAGAGGACAGGTGGACCTGCGTTCTATAGGCGACACCCTCTACACGATTGAAGCCATCGCCACAGTGAGGGACGCGACCATGCCCATCTGCCTGCAGCGGGTGGGGGACGCCCCCCCCATCATCAACGCCATCGAGATCCGCCCGCTGCCGCCGCTCTCCTACAGCTACCAGCAGCTCAAGGCCGATGTACTGCTGGTGTGGTGGCGCTTTGCTTGTGGTGACAGCCCTGTCCGAGACCAGACTTTCAGGTGGGTGTATGGGTCCATGTGTGTGCCGCTGTCTTACAGCTACCAGCAGTTGAAAGCTGACGTGCTGCTGGTTCTGTGGCGCTTTGCTTGCGGCAGTCAGAGACGAGACTTTCAGGTGAGTTTATGGGTGCTCGTGTAAGGAAGCCCCCTCCTCCCACCCTACCTGCCCCGCCCATCATCAACGCCATCGAGATCCGCCCGCTGCCGCCGCCCTCCTACAGCTACCAGCAGTTGAAGGCGGATGTGCTGCTGGTGTGGTGGCGCTTTACATGCGGGGACAGCCCTGTGAGGGACCAGACTTTCAGGTGCGTGTATGTGTGCGTGCATGCACGAATGTGGATGTGGGTGGGTGCGTATGTGTGTGTTGCATGCCGCCGCTCTCCTACAGCTACCAGGAGCCAAAGGCGGACGTGCTCGTGGTCTGGTGGGGCTTTGCGTGTGCACGACAATGAATCCCCCCCTCTCCCTCCCCTCCGCTTCCCCCACTTTCTCCCTCCTGCCAGTGACCCCTCAGATCCTGCTGACCACATATGGCAGATTGACGGCAGCACACTCACTGGACCACTGGGACCTGCAACTAGCTGGTGGTAACCACCACTATTGTAACCACTGTAACACCGATTCTTTCCCACTCCCCTCTCTCTCCTCCCACTTTCAGGTACCCCTCGGACCCTGCTGACCGCATATGGCAGATCGACGGCAGCACTCAGTTAGACTACTGGGACCTGCAACCATCCACCCGCACACAGCTGGTTACCACCAATGTAACTATTGTAAAACCAACCCGTCCCCGCTCCCCTCTCTCTCCTCCCCCTTTCAGATACCCCTCGGACCCTGCTGACCGCATATGGCAGATCGACGGCAGCACTCAGTTAGACCACTGGGACCTCCAGCCATCCAACCTCACCCAGCTGGTTACCACCAACGCCACCGTAACCATCCCTCCGCCCTCACCCCCCAACACCGCCACGGGCACCCCCATTCCCTCCTCTTCTTCCGTTCTCAACGCTGTGCCGCAGCGGGTGCTGCAGTCTGCTCGTACGGTGCTAGCGCCACCAGCGCTGGCGAATAGAGGGTTAGAGTACTCATTCGATAACCTTGATTTGGGTCGCTACCAGGCGTTTCTGTATTTCTCCAGCCTCCTTCCCCCGCCTGCTGCTGCCACTGCAGCTTCTGTAGGGAGTGGCAACGGCAGCGGCAGTGGCAGTGGCGGCGGCGGTGGCGGTGGTAGTGGCAACGGCCCTGGCGGTAGCAACACAGGTGGTAGCAACGGTGGTGGCGGTATTAGTGGCAATGGTGGCGGCGGTAATAGTACCGGAGGTGGAAATAGCACTGACAGCAGCAGTGGCAGTGGCGGTAGTAGCAGTGGGGCCGGTAATAGCACTGGCGGTGGGAATATCACTGACAGCAGCAGTGGCAGTGGCGGTAACAGCAGCACCAGCACCACCAGCATCGACGAATTTCTAGGCGATTTAGTGGTGACCGTGTTACTAAACGACGTGGTTGTAGAAAAGCAGCTCATAGTGATCCCCCTCTCTCCCCCCAACCAATGGGGAGGCCCCAGAGCAGGCCAGGCCGCCATCCCCTTCACAGTCACACCCGAAAACCGGCTAAACATCAGACTTAGGGTAAAAACCACCGCTAAGAGCCGGATTCGCCCCGTGACACTTAGCGGGTTGGAAATAGTCCAGTTGTTTGAGGAGGCACCGGCGGTGGGAGGGGGAGATGTGGCGGCGCTAGCGTGTGTGAAGACACAGTTTGGGGAACCTGCTGCTATGGAGGAGTGGGTGGGGGACCCGTGCTACCCTGTGACGTGGCCGGGCGTGCAGTGCAGCTTCAGTGCCAATGCCACTGCTGTCATTGGCCTGTGAGTGCTGCTGTTGGGGCTGCTGAGAGTGCTGGTGTGTGAGTGCTGGTGTGTGAGTGCTGGTGAGTGCTGGTGTGAGTGCACGAGTGTTGCTGGCTTGGTTTGGAGGAATGGGTTGGGGGCCACCCGTGCCATCCCTGTGTGCGTTGCTTCGTGAGATGCCTAAAGGATTCCCTCATCCCTTGTCCGCCCGTATCAACGATGCCCTCATCCCATGTCCGCCCGTATCAACGATGCCCTCATCCCATGTCCGCCTACATCCCTCTCGTGCCTGCCTGTTGCCCTCCACAAGGACTTGAGTCACTCTGGTCTCTCCGGCTCCATCCCTGCCTGCATCTGCAACCAGCGTTGCACTGCTGCTGCCCCTCACCCCCTCTATCCTCCCCCTGTCTCACTCTCTCCTGCCTGCCTGTTGTTCTCACAGGGACCTGAGTCACTCTGGTCTCTCCGGCTCCATCCCTGCCTGCATTTCCAACCTCTCCTCGCTCTCCGCTCTGTAAGCACCTCCTCGCTCTCTGCTCTGTAAGCACCTCCTCGCTCTCCGCTCTGTAAGCACCTCCTCGCTCTCCGCTCTGTAAGCACCTCCTCGCTCTCCGCTCTGTAAGCACCTCCTCGCTCTCCGCTCTGTAAGCACCTCCTCGCTCTCCGCTCTGTAAGCACCTCCTCGCTCTCCGCTCTGTAAGCACCTCCTCGCTCTCCGCTCTGTAAGCACCTCCTCGCTCTCCGCTCTGTAAGCACCTCCTCGCTCTCCGCTCTGTAAGCACCTCCTCGCTCTCCGCTCTGTAAGCACCTCCTCGCTCTCCGCTCTGTAAGCACCTCCTCGCTCTCCGCTCTGTAAGCACCTCCTCGCTCTCCGCTCTGTAAGCACCTCCTCGCTCTCCGCTCTGTAAGCACCTCCTCGCTCTCCTCTCTGTAAGCACCTCCTCCCTCTCCACACTGTACGTCCCTAAACACTCCTGTTGTATGGTTCCAACTCTTGAATCTTGATAAGTGCATTGTAGACATCTTTCTTTCTTTCTTTCTTTCTTCACTGCACGTACCTCCTACCTCCTGCCCCTGTAAGCTCCCCTCTCAACGTACACTCTAAAAGCATTCTCATTAACATCATGTGCTCCCACATGCCACGTGCCCCATGTAGCCCCACATGCAGCGTACTCAACGACAGCAGCCTCACAGGCAACATCCCCTCGCCTCACAAACACCTGCTTCCTGTGCCTCTCACATAGCCAACCAGACCCCACCTGCTCACCTCCCCGCCTGCAGCGTGCTCAACGACAACAGCCTCACAGGCGACATTCCCTCGCCTCATGGCCAACCCCACTTGCCCACCCCACCTCCCCATGTGCCCTCACCCACGAAATCTCTCACATGCAGCACGCTCAATGACAACAGCCTCACAGGCGACATCCCCTCATGGCTTGGTTCCCTCTCGAACCTCCACTCCCTGTATGGCCCTCCTACCCTCTGCCTCCCTTCCTCACTCTCTCTCCCTGTACGGGCCTCCTCTCTGCCTCCCCTCCTCACATCCCCTCGTGGCTTGGTTCCCTCTCGAATCTGCACTCCCTGTATGGCCCTCCTCCCCTCCCCTAATCCCCGCCTCCCCTCCTCTCCTCCTCTCGTCCCCTCCCCACACCCCCTCCTTATCCTCTGATCCCTCCTTATCCTCTGATCCCTCCTTGTCACATCTTTCATAAAAATGGGTTAGGTCCCTTTGGTTTTATTTGCTTGCCAACCTAAAGGCTAAAGACAACACATATAAACACTTCACTTACAAGTCAACCACTTGGGTGCGATTTCCCAATGAACCTCCATATCAGTCCCTCAAACTCTCTCCACTCAACCCCGCTCAACTCTTCTCAACCCCTCATTGCCTCTCTTGCAGCTGCAAAAATCTCCCTGTGCCAGTGAGTTCTCCCTGTCAGCCTCTTCTCTTGTGCTGACTTCCCCTACTCAACTCCCTCCAACTCCTCACAACTCCCTCCAACCGCTCTTTGCCTCTCTTGTACATGGGCAAATGGCGAGTCGAGTTTTACTTGACTCGTTTTGACGAGTTTTTTCCCTTGGACGAGTCGAGTCGAGTTTTACTCGTCGAGTTTTTTTGGTCAAAATGCTGACTCGAAACTCGGCCCCAAAGTCGAGTTTTTTGAAAACTCGGATGAGCCTTAAAAAAACTCGTCCGAGTCAAGTAAAACTCGACTCGAAGTTAAACACTACCCTAACCTAAAACCCCAGCCACACGAAAACAGTTGTAGGGTGCCCAGAAAACTGCCACACGCGTCAACACCCACAAACGACCCAGCCAGCCCCACCTCTCCTCCCCCCTTTCACTTTCCAAAAAAGCTACTCACCGCCACGCCAGCTGCACTAGTGTTCACAATTAAGCGGTGGAACACATCCAAAACAGCGAGCCACACCTCCAGCAGCATATTAACCCAGAAACAGACATTTGTACCCCCCCGTGGTGGACCATTTGATGCACGAGTTTTTTAAAACTCGTCTAGGTTAAACAAAACTCGTGAGTGAAAAAAAACTCGCGAGTTATGGATAACTCGCCTGTCTAGCCGAGTTTTTTTAAACTCGCGAGTAAAAATCGACTCGTTTTCACGAGCTTTTTTTACCAAAATCAGAACTCGAAACTCGTTATTTTTGAGTACTTCAAACGAGTCTAGTAAAAACTCGACTCGTTTGCCCATGTATTTGTGCCTGCAGCAAGCTGGGCAACAACCAGCTGGTGGGAAGCGTGCCAGGAAACTCAGGTTGCCTTTCTACTCAACTCCTCACAACTCCCTCCCACCCCTCATCACCTTACCTGTGCCTGCAGCAAGCTGGGAGCCAACCAGCTGGTTGGCAGTGTGCCGATGTCGCTCTTACAGCTGCCCGAATTCCTGCACCTGTAAGTTCCTCCCAACCAGCCCTCCGTGTACCAAGTTTTGAATGATAAGTCGACTAAAAAGAGCTGCCACAGCTTCCTGATTTCCTGCTTTTTTTATCCCTTCTCCCCCTCTTTTTATCACTCACTTTCCCCTCCCATTATCTCTCCCCCTCTTTCCCCCTCTGCAGCGATCTCAGCAACAACAACCTCACAGGGCCGTTTCCTTTCAACGCTACTGTCAGCATCGATATCAAGTGAGTGATTCTTCCTCTACCCTTCCTCCCTTAACTCTCCTTCCCTTCTCCCTCCTTCCCTGCTCTCTCTTCCTCCATCTCCCTCCCACAGTCAGCATCGATATCAAGTAAGCAGTTCTCGCTCTACTCTTTCTCCCTTGTCTCTCCCTATCTCTCCCTCCTGTATCTCTCGTTCCCCTATCTTCTCCCCCCTTCTCTCCTCCCCACTCCTCGCTCCTCCCCTCTTCTTTCCTTCCTCCCTTCGCTCCTCTCTCTCCCTTTTATGCCGTCCAAAAAATCGTGTTCACTGATTCGCTTCCCACTGTTCTTTATGCCTTTTTCTTATCATTTATGTCAATTTTTTAACCGACCAATTAATCACCTCAAAAGCCTCACTTCTACTTGCTCCCCCTTCTCCTCCATCACTTCTCCCTTCTCCAGCCTCCAACGTTTCTTCTCCCCCCTCCCCTCCCCCGTTCCCGTTCTTGCAGCATCAAGGGCAACAACTACCTTTACCACCCAGATATTGCCTTCAATCAACCTCCCACTCACTCCCCTTTCCCCTCTGTGATCCCCTCCCCCTTGCAACCTTTCTTGCAGCATCAAGAGCCGCAACTACCTCTGCCACCCAGATAGTGCCTTCAACTTTGCACTCCCCCCCTTTCCTCCCTCTGTGCCTCCTCCCGCCCTCTGTGCCTCCTCCCGCCCTCTGTGCCTCCTCCCTCTGTTCCCCTTCCCTCTGTGCTCTCCCCTACAGCATCGAGGGCAACAACTACCTCTGCCACCCAGACAGGGCCTTCAGCCTTCCTGCCTGCTCGGGCAATGGCCTTCCAATCACCTCCCTCTCTCCCTCCTCCCCCTACTCCTCCTCCTCCTCCCCCCCTCCTCCCTCCGACTCCTCCTCCGACCCTGCCATGAGTACTGTGGCGCTGGTTTTCCTCGTTTTGGGCATAATCCTGGGCATCTGTATAGTCGCAGCGGCGACGTTTGTCCTGTGGCGCTGGCAGAAAATGCAGCGGGCCCGGCGGGCAGCAGAGGCGTATACTGGGGGGGTGGGACTGGATGGGGAGGAGAAGGGAGGGAAGGGGGGGAGCGGAGAGGGGAAAGGAGGGCTGGGAGGGTGGGATGAGGAAGGGAAAGGCGGAGGAGGGGGAGGAGGAGGAGGAGGAGGAGGAGGAGCGGGAGGGTATGATGGGAAAAGGCAAGGGGAGGCGTTATTGGGGCATGATCAGGTGGGTCTGGTGCATGTAGTGATTGACGGGAATGGGGAGAAAGGAGGAGATGGAAAAGTAGCAGTAGCAGCAGCAGGGGCAGCAGGGGCAGGGGTAGGAGCAGGAGCAGCGGGAGGAGGGGGAGGGGGAGGAGCAATGAAGGTGCCTGCTGCCGTTTCAGCTGCAGAATCGACAACACCGTTGCTGGGAGCAAGAGAGGATTCCTCAATGCTCCTCGGGTCTATTTTGGGTGCAATCTCTGCTGCAACAACCGACACTGCTGCAACGGCCTCTGGCCCTGCTGCTGCTAGTGCTGCTGGTGATGCTGCTGCTGGCGCTGGTAGTGGTGGTACTGCCGCTGTTACAGCAGCAGCAGCTGGGGCAGCGGCTATTGCTGGTGCAGGAGCAGCAGCAGGTTTGGGTGTTAGTGGTGTGACCCAGAACGGCATCTCTGGTGATTCCTCCATGACCCAGGATCAGTCTTTATCTGCAGAAACACCTGCAGGAATGCCAGTAGCAGGTGCAGCATTAGCAGCTGCACCAGCAGCACCGGCAGCAGCAGCTGCAGCAGCGGCAGCAGCAGCAGCAGCACCTGCAGCAGCAGCTGTCGACTCGATGATCCTCTTTGTCTCTCCAGGCTCCCACGTGCGGCGCTTCTCCCTCGCAGACCTCGCAGCAGCAACCGCCAACTTCCACCCCTCCCACATTATTGGCTCGGGCGGGTTCGGACCCGTGTTCAAAGGTATTCTCCCTGATGGGAGAATGGTGGCGGCTAAGAAGCGCGACGAGGACTCGTTACAAGGCGAGAAGGAGTTTTATAACGAGGTGGACCTGCTGTCGCGCGCCCGCCACCCAAATCTCGTGGATTTGATTGGATTCTGCCGGGAGAGCGGGCAGCAGGTGCTGGTGTACGAGTTCATGCCGCATGGGACCGTGCGGGATCATTTATATGACTCCATTGGGAATCCGTTGGGGCACCTGCGCTGGCTGCAACGGCTTCATATTGCTCTCAACGCTGCCAGAGGTGCGTGGGAGTCCTTAGTGTGAGAAAGCCCTTCATGCCGCATGCATGGCACTGTGAGGGACCATCTGTATGACTCCATCGGGAACCCCCTGGGGCACCTGAGGTGGCTGCAACGGCTGCACATCGCCCTCAACGCTGCCAGAGGTGAGTAGAAGTCATTGCCTTGTGTGTGAGAGAGTGTATGTGGAGTTTTTGCCTTGCACACGGGCATGACCCCCCCCCCATCATCCACCAAGATGCCAATCAAAGAGTCCTTTCCCCTTCTAACCCTCCCATCTCGTTTCTAATCCCATCCCTTTATTTTCGCCCTCTGTAACCCTTCCTTTACCTACCTTCCATCCCACACAGGAATCGAGTTCCTGCACACAGGCATGACCCCCCCCATCATTCACCGGGACATCAAGACCAGCAACATTCTCCTAGACGCCAACCTGAGAGCCCTTTCCCCTCCTTACCCTCCCATCCCATCCCTTTCCTTCCACCCTATGTAACCTTCCCATTCCCTTTCTTTCCTTCCCTCCAGGAATCGAGTACCTGCACACAGGCATGACCCCCCCCATCATCCACCGGGACATCAAGACCAGCAACATTCTTCTTGATGCCAACCTGAGAGCCCACGTGGCTGACTTTGGACTGTCCAGGGAGGGCTCTGTGAGCCGCACGCATGTGTCAACAAATGTCAAGGGCACAGCAGGCTACCTGGACCCCGAGTAAGTCCCTTTCTCCCAGGTATGGTATGCCCTCCCTTGACCGGTAGCTGAGTCCCTTTGGGCTGTCCAGGGAGGGCTCTGTCAGGTTAGCCTAACCCATGTGTCTATGAATGTCAAGGGCAGGCACGGCTGGATACCCTGAGTGAGTTTTGGGTGCAAGTGAGGAAAAGAGCAAGCTATGTGATGTGCAACATGCCTCGCATCCCCAGGCCCATTATAAGTCGAGCCTTATAAGCTATGTGGCTGACTTTGAACTTGCACGAGAAGGCTTTGTGAGCCTCACTTATGTTTCAATCAGCGCAGCTCGCCGCATGCGCGTGAGAGCGGGACAGTAGGCCTCCTCGATGACTTTTGAGTCGACTCAAAAGTCGCATGCGCGTGAGAGCGGGGCAGCAGGCCTCCTCGATGACTTTTGAGTCGACTCAAAAGTCGCATGCACGTGAGAGCGGGGCAGCAGGCCTCCTCAATGACTTTTGAGCCGACTCAAAAGTCGCATGCGCGTGAGAGCGGGACAGCAGGCCTCCTCGATCCTGAATGAGTGCATGCAACCCAGCTTGATGGATCCTCCCACTCCCACACACTGGCGCTGTTCTGTAGGCGTCATTGCCTCCGCATGAAGTGTACGAGCAAGTCCTTCTGAGTCGATTTTTGAGTCGACTAAAAATCCTCCCACACACTGGCGATGTTCTGTAGGCGTCATTGCCTCCGCATGAAATGTAGGAGCAAGTCCTTCCGAGTAGCTTTTCGCCACACCCAAATCTCTAATTGCTCAATTTGCAGGGCGGAAGTTGCCACCAAGTCTCACTCAATTTCTCAATCCCTCAAATTGCTGCCCCGCATAACTTGTGCGCTGGCTGATGCTAGCTCTCGAGGCTGAGTTGGCAGCGCACAAGTTGTGCGAACATTTGCCTGGCGATGCAACATCTTGGAACCTTCAGGCGATTAAATTAGTGTGCCCCGGAAGTGGTGTTCTGCAGGCCCAAGTGGATCATTTGACGCGGACAGGCTCGGCAGGACCTGTTGCTTCATCCTCCCTCTCTCCTGCCCCCTCTCCACCCCACTAGGTACTACAGTGCAGCAGTTAACCGGCCGCAGTGACGTGTTCAGCTTCGGAGCGGTGCTGCTGGAACTGATTTTTGAGCTGTTAACCCCTGTCCTCTTTACCTCTACTCTTTCCTCTTCACTCCCTCCATCCCTCCCTTCCTTCAGGTACTACACGGTGCAGCAGCTGACCGACCGCAGTGACGTGTTCAGCTTTGGAGTCGTGCTGCTGGAGTTGATTTCCGGTCGCCAGCCGATCGACCTGAACCGGCCAAGAGACGACTGGAGCATTATTGACTGGGTGAGTAACGGTTGACTGCGGTTGGGCAGGGTTGATTAGGGTTGACCCCGGTTGACTAGGGTTGAATGGATTGACTGGGTGCTTCTGGAGATGATTTTCGGGCGGCAAGCAATCGACTTAAACCCCCCCCCCCCCCCCGCTCTCCCTCTCTCCCTCCTCCCCCCACACCCTAAACCCGTGCAGGTGCGGTCGCGGCTGCAGCAAGGGCAGATAGAAGTTATAATAGACCCGACCCTCCCCCCCTCCGAATTCGACATTGAGGTCATGTGGCGCGTGGCAGAGGTGGGAGTGGTGTGTGCGTGCGCTATCACTTGCCCTCTCACCCCTTGCCCTTTCCATTCCCTCCCCCCATGCCCTACGCCCTATGCCCTTTGCAGGTGCGGTCGCGGCTGCAGCAAGGGCAAATAGAAGCTATTATAGACCCGACCCTCTCCCCCTCCGAATTCGACATTGAGGTCATGTGGCGCGTGGCAGAGGTGGGCGTGGTGTGCGTCGAGCCGAAAAGCTTCAACCGCCCGAGCATTTCAGACGTTTGCTTCGAGTTAAACCACGCCATCCAGCTTGAGGCGGCGGCTGGCCACCCGCCGCCCGGTTTGGGCCACTCGAATATCACGTTTGCGAGCAGCGGGGAGGGGAGCAGCAGCAGCGGATTGGGGGGAAGTCAGGGGTTGATGAGTGCAGGGGATGGGAGCAGCAGCGGGACCGGGAGTGGGAGTGGGGGGGTGGGAGGAGGGAATGGGAGCAGTAATGCGGCCATACCTGTGTCATATCAACCTGGGGCGATGGAAGGAGGAGGGGTGGGTTCTGCTGCTGCTGCTATTGTTGTCATTCCTGGCACGGATGCAAGCGCAAATGCCCCCAGCCTTCCTCCACCTGCCTTCACCACAGCAGCAGCACCAGCAGGGTCACGGTCTTACACTCGGTTCAGGTCTGCCTTTCACAGCAGCAACATGACCAGCAGCAGCATTGTGTGAGGCATGTCAATGCATGTTCGATAGAAGAGGCAGCTGCAGCAGCAGCTCCACCAATAGCAGCTGCAGCAGCAGCTCCACCAATAGCAGCTGCAGCAGCAGCAGCAGTATTTTCCATGCAACTCACTGCTGACAAAAGCCCACTTCACCGCCAGCAATGCAGCCATCCCTTCTGTCCACGAATGCCCTTCCCTTGACCTGCCTCACCTCATCATGACATTCCAAAAATGTCAAGTGAACTGTATTCTCGCAGTGTATTCTCTCTGACTGCTTGTGAGTATGTTGAGGTGTTTCAACAGCAAGCCATGGCCTGTAGTGGAGTGGACTGCTGTTGAGCCATCTCAAGAGTGTTTTGCTTTATACTTGCTATGATCTTGTTACTGTTCTAATGATGCGTTGTGTCTCTATGCTATTTGTCATCGAAATGTACAATTGCTTTAGGTAAGTGAAAAGCAGCAGCGAATTGCTTTATCTGTAATTTTTTATTGTAACCTAAACTTCAAGGCGGGTAGTCTTGGCAACAGCAATTTCCCCAGCTATAAGTGCTAGCATTGCAGTGTACTGCATAATCTAAAGCAGTGGTATGCTTCGTTCCTCAGCAATCAGTACTAAGTATAAATAAGGGGCACTAAAATATGCCCTATATGGGCACTACCTACAAACCATATGCTAGTAGTAAGGGGCACAGATGAGCTTCCCTTAGAGAACACAAAAAACAAAGGAGCTGCTAACGATACAAGGAGCTTTTGCTTCAGTGCACTTGGAACCTGCTGAATACCCAGTGCTATGTTGTCAGCTTTTGCCAGAGTCATGTACAAATTGCTGCGAAAGTTTGCACCGCAGTCTTGGTGCAGATATTTACATTCACAGAAGTCGAGCCACCTGGCGCTGTAACGAGTTGACTCCGCAGAATCCCCAACCCAGGCAGGGATTAGGTGAATCCGATTGCACTCACCGCACCAGCCGCGCAGCCTTCTCAGCTGAGCCCAGGAGATCTGCCGTGATAAGGTCTGCTAGTGCACGTTGCTCAGGTTGGTACCCAGGTTGTTGCTCAGGTTGCGGGAAGGAAGATCCGAAAATCATGGGAGATACAGCAGCGGCGTCGTGTGGAGCGGCAGCAAGTGTGGGTTTGGCGCCAGCAGGGCCGTCGTCGGCAGCAGTGAGGGAGGGGTTGGCGGGGCGGTGGCCCTTGAAGAGGGCGAGGTGGCCGAGCAGCTTGTCCTTGCGGCTGAAGGACGTGCCGCAGGAGCACAGCCAGCGGTCGCGCCCGCAGTGCTTCTCGTGGGTCTTGAGGTCCGCCACTACCGAGAACCGCTTTGCACCGCACTTGGAGCAGGAGAGCATCTTGGGGCAGTGGGTGCGGCGGTAGTGGTTCTTCACACACAGCATCGTCTTGAGCGGCACGAACGCCCGGTGCTGCTGGTTGCGCTTGCACCCGTTAAACGGGCAGCTGTATCGGAGCGGCTTTTTCTCGGTAACGGCAGTGGTGTCAGTCCGAGAGAGCATGCTTTTCTCAGGGTTTGCGAGGGCTGCTGGCGTCTTGTACTCGTCGCCGTGGCCTCTCATGTGCATGCGGAGATTAGCGTCTCGCTTGAATCCTGCCAGGGTATAAAAAATGCGATGTCAGAGCAAGGCGGCGTCAAACGAAAAGTCAGAACGTGGTGGTGCATGTAACAGCAGAGCAGAAGAGAGCAGCGCAGAGAGGAGCAGAGCAGCGAGCAGAGAGGAGCAGAGCAGCGAGCAGAGAAGCTACAGTGGTGGCAGGCATGTGCCATATGAGTCGCAGACAGCAAATTAGTTGCACACAACCAATGCCTTTGCCACAGCATACCTTTGCCGCAGATCTCGCAGAAGTGCGTGTGCTCCGCCAACAGCTCCACAGGGTCCATCTGGATTATGTCGAACTCTCCTGAAGCCACCAAAGCACGAGTGCACGCAGCAGAGAGACAAGATGCACGGGATGTGTGCAGGCAACAAAAGATAGGAGCAAAATTCTTTGAGTTCCGCAAGTTCTCTCCGAGATGCATGGATGATATTGAACTCGCCCTATGAAGCCATGCACACATCAACGAACGCAGAACAGAGACAAGGGACACGGTTACAAGAGAAACGGGTACAAGAGAGATGGATACACTCTTAGGCACCGGATGCAACACACAATGCAGCGAGCACGCGACTCACCAGCCAACACCTCGCCCTCGTCGTCGTCACCCTCATCGCCAGACGGTGAAGTCGCGGGATTTCCCTGACCTGCGTCAGCAGCTGGAGCCACCGTCGCGGGCTCGAGGCTCTTCCGCTTCCGCGGCAGGTGCGACGCGATTGCGAGTGGCGACGTGTCCTCGCTTGGAGAGACCGTCATCTGCGGCTGAATGTGCTGCTGCTGCTGCTGCTGCTGCGGACGAAGGTGTTGGTGTTGCTCCTCTTGCGAAACTACGCTCTTGAGCTGATCTTGTTGCAGCTTGACAGACTCGGCCGCAGCAGATGACAAGGAAGCAAGACCCAGCTGCAGCTGAGCCGTAGCCTTCTCCGCGTTCCGCGCGCTCTGCGATTGCGATTCCAACATCTGGAAGCCAAGATCTTGACAGGCGAAGCCCGCTGGAGTTCCCTGCAAAATTTGCGGGGACTGGTGCTCTAGGATTGGTTGATGTTGTCGCTGAAGATTGTTAAGATCAGGATGCGGGTCAAGAGACGGAAAAGCCGCCACGCCGGGGTGACTCGGCTGGACAGACGGTAATTGGAGATTTCCCACGTTGGAATTTCGGGACTGGAAAACACCAGATCTGACATTAGCGGGTGGAATCTTAGTCGATGTGACATTAACGGGCGCAGGAAGGCCCATTTGGGGAAGGATGTTGGCCGCGGCAAGCGCGAGCTGGGAAATGACGGAGGCGATTCCGGCCGATGCGGCAGCGTGCTGCTGCTTTAGCTGCTCCGCGTGAGCGCTGTCGATTGGCTGCTGCTGCTGCTGCTGCGCCATCAACGGGATAAGCGATTGAAGCGCGCTGATGTTCTGCAAGAACAATGGATCCGTGAGAGAGGAAACGACGGTACATGTGAGAAATTAACTCGTCACAACGGGAAGGTGTCGCGCAGCACTTATAGAGAGATAGAGAGGTGTCGAGAAGGTGCGCAGGTACGACTGACTCATCAGAAGAAGAGCGGTGGAGGAAAACGGATGATTAAGGTATGACTGACTTATCAAGTAGTTGTACCTGCTGAAGAAGATTGAGAGCATTCATTAGAGCCTCTGGGGAGGAAGATAAGCCAAGAAAACCAGGAGCATCACCGCCTGGATCGACCACCGACTGGTTCAGGTTTATCGCAAGTTGCGGCGTGGTTTGAGGACCGTCTTGGGTAGGAACCGCTTCATTTGACATTAGCGGATTCGGCGTTTGTGCCTGAACTGGCGAATGATGCAGCTGATGTGGAGGATATGGCTGCTGACTCGGCATCGGATGGGGATTCTCCGCGACGGTGTGGAAACTGGCAAAATCTACGCCGATCTGTTGGTAAAAAGGCGACGCCATGAATGTCAAGGCGGGAACAAGGACTACGCACTTGGTACCAAATTCGAGGTTTTCCGCGTTGCAACAAGAAGATAATAACACAACCGAAGCTGCTTAACTAGAGGTCGGACACATAATACTTCGCCAAAGCTCACTTGATCAACCAAATCTGACCTAGTGGTATGAAGAATGGAGTGTTGAATCAGGAAAACTCACCAACCCTGAAGCCAGGCCAGGTTCTGAAGACTTGCACAAGAAAGACTAGCACAGCTCAAGCTCTTATAAGACTGTGGCTCAATACCTTATACCTTTAGAGCGGTTTAGATTTCCACCGCTTTAAACCGTTGCGCACCAGAAAGAACCTTGTACGATTCATTTGGGATTGGACGAGACGAGAATGACCCGCCCTGGGCAATCTTGGTTTCAGGGAAGGGTTGCCTGGGGAAGGGGCAGGGCAGGGTTGGACACTATTAGATGCCATACTGGGCAGGGTAGGTGTAGGGCAGGCGGACAGTGTGCCTGAAACTGTATAGCGGTGGCGCAGCATGCTGCGGCTGTGCTGTGTACAGAACTGTACGACGCGCGGACGCGGGTGCGGTGGCGGGTGGGGAAAGAGGGGGTAGCTCGCGGGGGCTTGAGAGGGCTACAGTACTTGGGGCTTGTTTGGTGGATTCCTTGCGCCTTGGAAGCTGCTGCTGCTGAAGTGTGAGGTAGTAACCATTTGATTCTTTTGTGTTTTTCCGGACCGTCTGTATATTTTTAAACGGGCGGTCCTAACATCGAGAAACGGACCGTCCGATGTGACGTTCCGGAACCTTGCCACCGTCCGGAGAGAAACGTGATACTTTTTTGCTTGTGCTCCGACTTCGCGACTACTGTAGTCTCGCGCAGCTCCCGCGACACTCGTAACCAAATACACAAGCTGTCGCAAGACCGATTCGTTTGCCAATACCTGCGCAGGATTGCAGATTGATATTCGTCCGCCAATCCCTGCACAGAACTGGCGGACCGTCCAAAACGGGGTTTCGGACCGTCCGAAATGCACATTTCGGACCGTTGGAGCGTGAAAAAGTGTCATGACGGCTCGGAATGTTGGCGACGTCGCAAGGAGTTTACCGAACAAAAATGTGCGAAGTACTGCGACTTTGGTAACTCTTCGCTAATATGGACGGTCTACATTTCGGACCGTCCGGAACAAAAATAGGCAAAATGGTTACACGCCCTAACAAGCCATTGACCTGGCTCGGTTTCCGTTTTGGTTTCTGTATTGACTCATGCTAGTCAAACCCGCGTTTCTCTTCACCATCCACCCACCATTCACGCCTGTCACCATGACCTACCCCTAGAGCATCGCGTTCTCAATACCCCCTCCCCCTCCCATCCCACACCGCCTCTCTCTCTCTCATGCGATGTGTACCACCTGGAGCGGTAGCCGCAGCACGAAACCAAGTCAGCCCTGAATCTGTAAATAATTCCCTTCCGTACCCACCCGCAATCTACCGTACGGGATGGTCAGGTGCGGGCAGGTGCCACCCTGTATGTGGGCAGCATGTGCCCTGGCTGTGCGTGGGAGGGACACATTCGCCATTTCTGGTCGAGGCTTGTCTGTGTGGATGTGCATTTCTTTTCACCCGGGCGAAAAAAAACTAAAATCCTATCGGATGGCATGCCATCCGAGGGAGGCATCAACCCTAAATCCATGCCTCCCCGTGTTTAGGGTTGATGCCTCCCTGACCGGATGCATGCCTGACTGCGGTTTTTTTTTTCTCCCGCGGGCAGCGAGCTCCGCCGGGCGACGACCTGAACGCGCTGAGATATATTCGGCGGAC